GCAACATTCTTGTCATTTATCCATCATTCAGAGGCAACGAATAATCATCAAAGTACCCTCTCCTCCATCCTGATTAACCCATCTCCAGAGACCAGGATAGAGCTCAGAATACTGTGTACATTCATCTCCCGTTTTTCATAAGGTCTTATTACTTCTTGTGTTTGGCTCATCTAGCCCATTGTACAATTTGTAGGATATAAAAGACTAGAAAGTCTATGTTTCATTTACTGTTTTTCTAACACATGCATTTGATGTAAGTAATATTATAAAGTGGGAGCAGGATGGGTCGTCTCCTCTTGTGTGATTAACTGCCTCTGAAAACCCTCTCGAGGGTAGACTATGGGTCGACTCTGACTCTATGGTGCACAACAACAACAACTGTATTATAAAAGGTCTTGCAGAACCATAGAGGCAAAAAGCAGGGAACTAACAGCATGAACTCTTCACTGGTGTAGTCTGTAGGGAATTGCACTATTATCTCAAAGGCAGGTTCTCTGTGGTGCCTTGAATCTACCAGTGGCTTCTTCTGAGAAGAAAGGCCATTTCCTCCTAAAATTTGCCAGTTAGTCAAAGGCAGTGTGTTTTACATTGTAATTTGCAAAACTGTAATTGAAGCTTAAAGTATTTAGTGGAAATACATAACATGACTTTGTCACTAATGAGTGAAATATTGCAAAGGGCATACGCTGTGAATCTTTCTGTAAAGGGTGTATGATGTGAACCAGTCTATGAAGGGCGTGTAAAGTGAACCTATCAAAGGTGTAATATGGGAAGCAATCTATGAAGGGTAGATGGGATTTAAGTAAGTAGAAAACTAGAACAGTTCAGAACAGGAAAATGGATAAAATACATTGTGTGGAAAAGGCTTCGAGTGATTCAGTTTACAGGACTAGTAGGTAGGCCAGCTTGACTGGATTAAAAGCTTTGTATTATTGCCATTACTGTGGTAAATATTTGAAGAGTATATCAGACTTGATTCTAGGGGAACTTAAATGTTCAAAGGGAAAAGAAGTTTAAATACAACGTTTAGAAAGGGCAACATTACCTGTTGTGCGTGAATAAGTGAGTAAGTAGGTAGATTAGGTGGCTTTAGTAAAGGCATCTAATGGTTGTTGGTGGAAACGGAATGATAAAAAAAAATCAGAATGATTGTCTTCTTTTCAGGTACATGATTGTGAGGCAAGTCTAAGGTGAGCTTCTTAGAATTTCCCACCAATAGTGAATAAGGGTTCCAGTTTCTCCACAACCTCGCCAGCATTTGTTGTTTGCCGCTCTGTTGAATTTTGCTATTGTTACTGGGGTGAGATGATATCTCATAATTGTTGTGAAATATCTTGTATTTTGGTGATGGGGAACAAAGGCTTGTACTTTCAAAACAGCTCCCTTTTGGGATGAGGTCACAGCTGGTCCAAAATTCCCAACTGAGATACAGAAGAACTTCAAAGACATATATTCCTTTTGGTATATGACATGTAAGAACGAATCCCACCAGACCCTGCTGAGTAATGGCAGGCTATGAAATGGGACTTTGGGATGTTTAAATGAGAACTAAACCTTCAAAGTTATTACACGTCTTGTTAGGAAGTCTTAAGGAGATAATTTACCTCTCCCTGGAGACTCATCTCAGAAGCAGTTAGGGTATGCAGCTTGAGCTGTGAGTATAAGGAGCTCTTGCTGTATAGGGTCTAGCATTGGAGCAGAAGCTTAGGGGAGAAAGATTGATCCCATATCTGTACTATGCTGAGTTGAGTCTGAAAAAATACCAGAAATTCTAGAGGCAGGAGAATACTATTTTATTATGCAAAGAAAGAGAGAGAAAAAACTAAAACCTGAAGCAAACAAAAAGAACAAAATCTCAAATACACTGTGAGCTGATTCTGGCTCACAGTGACCTTGTAAAGCAGATTTGGACCCAACCCCACAGAGTTTGCAAGGGTGTAATCTTTTGAAAAACAGCCTAGGATTACATCTTTCTCTCATGGAGAAGAAGATAAAGGCTCCATAAAGTGACAATAAGGCCTAGAGCAGCTGCAAAGGACCTCAACTCAACCAGGCTGCTGTGACTACAGACTCCAGGCTGCCTTGTCTACTGGGTAGGAACTAAGAGAAGGTAACTGAAGCTCAAAGGAGACAAGTGACTTGCTCAGTGTCACACATATAGAACCTACCTTTTTCTGCATCAGCAGTCTTTTCTCTCTGCCTCTGTATGCAACTCCTTTTAGGTGAAGGACAACAGCCAGCAGGTCACAGACAGAGGCAACACTGAACAAAGAGGGAACGTGCTAGTGAAGTGGAATTCAGGTGAGGACGGTTCATGCCCAGTTCATGGTTCCCTGGTAGAAGTTCTTTTCTTTGCCGTTGCCCCTGATGGATGATTTAATATTGGCTTGGCTACTGCTTGCTGCATGAAGAGTACAAATGTGATCAAATCCCTTCTATATCGCTTGGTTCTAGAGCTCCATCAACCAACAAAACCAAAAAACAAACCCCCCAAAAACAAGAAACTAAGTCCAATCTTGTGGTTATGGAGTTAATTTCAACTCTTGGAGACCTAATGTGTTGTCGAATAGAACTGCTCCATAGATGTTTCTTGCTATACTCTTTACAGAAGCAGATCATAAGTCTTTCTTCCATGGGACTTCTGGGTGGTCTTGAATTGCCAACCCTTAGCCTGCTAAGTATCACTTCAATTGTTTGCATTACCCAAGGACCTCAGAACTCTAGGAAGGACCTTCAAACCCACTAACTCAGATTCCTCAAACAATGCTGAGACGACACTTGCTGGTAGAAATGCTAGCATTCGAGTTTGGCTGCTGCTGGTTGCCAAATGACTGTTTTTTTATGAGGGCCTGTAGAACAACAAAACAATGCTTATGGAGATTTGTTAGATTCTAAGAGGAGTTTATATTTGCTCTTTTGATTCCAAGGTTAATGCTAGTACTTATAAAAAAAAATCCCCCTTAATCAGCCAGCCAACTCTAATTAAGCCAACAGCTGTTAGTTAAATACGCATGTTGTTAGACTTGAGAATAGAAATGTTCCTAGGAGCAGTGAACACTGCTGACTGCCAATGGATTTTATTTTCGACATACATTTTGCTTGTAGAATGTAAATTTTCCCTCCTCAAAAATGCTCAATTAAAATTGTAAATAGCCACCATATATGTGGAGACTCTTCGTTTTCCAAACCACATGTGCATCAATCTTAATCCGCGCATTAACCTATTTTATAAGCAGGGTACAAGTTATGATCTCCTTTTGGCTGAAGACGAACTTGAAGTTCAGAGAGGTTAAGTGCCTCGTGTGAAAGTGAACAGCTAATTGGGGACAGAGCTGCAAACATAAGAGCTGACTTCTAAGTCATAGAATTTCTTGCTCTCCTTTTCACCATAACAGAATTATCCACCACATTGTATCTGGATCAGAGTGAACTGTCTACTCACTGTAAAGATATTTACTTGTGTTTTATTGACTATGTAAATGCGTTTAACTGGGGAGATCATGATAAATTAAGGAGTTAACACTGGAGGAATAGGAATCCCAGAACACCTCCTTGTGCTCGCTCAGAGCCTGGACATAGATCCTGAGGCAGTCATTTGAACAGAACGAAGGGTACAGCGTGGATTCAAATCAGGAAAGGCGTGTCCCAGGATTGTGTCCTTTCACCTAGTTGATTCAGTCTGCATGCTGAGTAAATAGTCCAAGGAGCTGGACTGTGTGAAGGGAGATGTGCCATCGAGGTTGGAGGAAGACTGTAATAATCGTGCTATGCAGATGACACAACCTTGCTTGCTAAAAGTGAAGAGGACTTGAAACTAATCATTTAGGAGTAAAGCTAGTAAATACGGCTTGTCGTATTCAGCCTTCAGTATGGGATACAGTGCAGACTGCAACTTGAGTATAGACAATGCCTTGATAGAAGGAAAACAAAAATCCTCACAACTGGACCAATAAGCAGCAACTTGAAAAGTAAAGAAAAAATCGAAGTTGTTATTGAGGACTTTGTTTTATGCAGATCCACAATCCATGTCCCTGGAACTGGTCGTCAGGGAGACAGATGATGTTTTTTTTATGAGACAAATCTGCTGTAAAAGACTTTTTTGTTTTTTTTAAGTGTTAAAGAGCAAAGAGATCACCTTGGGGACTGACTCAAAGCCACGGTATTTCCAGTCATCTCATATGCATGCAAAAGTTGGACAACAAATAAAGATGACTGGAGAAAAACTAATGCATTGAATTATGGCGTTGGTCTACACTATTGGATACACCGTACATTACCAGAAGAACAGAGAAATCTGCCTTTGAAGAAGTACAGCTGGATTGCTCTTAGAAGGAAGGGAGGAGGATGAGACTTTGCCTCACATACCTCAAACTTGTTAATAGGAGGGAGGGATCAGTTTTTGAAGAAGGGCACCCTGCTTTACAAAGCAGAGGGTCCATAAAAAAAGCGGAAGACCCTCAAGGAGATGGATGGACATTATGGCTATGACACTGACCTAGAACATGGCAATGACTGTGAGGTTGCCGCAGGACCTGATGGTATTTCATTCTGTTGGGTACAGTAGGGCTTTGAATCAGAAGCAACTCAAAGACACTGAAGACTAAGATCTGCTTGTTTATTGCCACCTTAAACTACAAAGTCCTGCTAATATTAAACACATTAGATCTTAAACATTTAATAGAAACTTTATCACCTTGAAATGAAAGAGCCTCTGGGTGGTGTAAATGGGTAAGTGCTCAACTAGTAGCCAAAAGGTTTGGTTATTTGAAGCCACCTTAGCGGTGCCTCAGAAAATAGATCTGGCAATCTGTCCCTACAAGGTCACAACCCTAAAATCACTAGGGAGCAGTTCGACCCTGAACACATGGGATTCTCCAAGATTGGCTTGGAGATTGGCTCATGGCACCCACCACCCTCAAGCTTGAACTGGCTTGAAGCTCTCCCCAAAGGTCCGCTGACGTGGCTCCCGTATTCGCCCTCACAGGTCAGCTGCTGAATGGATGGCCGGCGGAAATGACACGGTCGTGACTGAGTTCTTCCTTGTTGCCTTCACCGAGCATCCGGAGTGGAGGCTTCCTCTCTTCGTGGTCTTTCTGAGTTTCTACCTTTTCACTCTGCTGGGGAACACGGGGATGATGGTCCTGATCCGCAAAGATCGCCGGTTCCACACCCCGATGTACTTCTTCCTCAGCCACCTGTCTTTTGTGGACATTTGCTACTCCTCTGTTATTGTCCCTCAGTTGCTGGTGGTGCTGCTGGAACATGGGGTTCTCATCTCGGAAGCTCGCTGTGCAGCGCAGTTCTTCCTCTTCACCTTCTTTGCCTCCATTGACTGTTACCTCTTGGCCATCATGGCCTATGACCGCTATGTGGCCGTGTGCCAACCCCTGCTTTATGCCACCATCATGACCGAGAAGGACCGTTCAGTCCTTGTGGCCGGTGCTTACGGGGCTGGTTTCTCCAGTGCCTTTATTCGAACAGTCACAGCCTTCACACTTTCCTTCTGCGGAAACAATGAGATCAACTTCATATTCTGCGACCTGCCACCCCTGCTGAAGCTCACATGTGGAGACAGTTACACCCAGGAGCTGGTGATTATTGTGTTTGCCATTTTTGTCATGCCTCTTTGCATATTGGTGATCTTGGTGTCATACTTGCTAATTATCGTGTCCATCATGCAGATCCGATCCCCTGGGGGCCGGACCAAGACCTTTTCTACCTGTGCTTCCCACCTCACTGCTGTTGCTCTCTTCTTCGGCACCCTCATCTTCATGTACCTGCGGGATAACTCAGGACAGTCCTCAGAGGGAGACCGCATGGTGTCCGTGCTCTATACAGTGGTGACCCCCATGTTGAATCCCCTCATCTACAGTCTTCGGAATAAGGAGGTAAAGGAGGCTCTTCTGAAAGCTCTGAACAAGTCAAAAGCTTCTGGAAAGCCCTAGAGCAGCCCTTTGAGAAGGATTTGTTTCTGTAGTTTCCCCGTCTTTTGTGTTTTTCCTCAAATGTCACCTTCATGATGGAGCTGTCCCATCCAACCCTAATGAAAACTGCACTTGAATTATTACTTAATACTTCTCACCAGCAGATTCTTATATAAAATTATCTGATTCTTGCAAATAGAAAGCAAAGTGTAGTCCAGGAAAATTTAACCTATTAGTTTTATTGCTAGTATTCAGCGCCTTGCAAAGCATCTGGAAAATAAAGCTTTCAATAAATATTTATTGTATGAGTGAATTAATCTCAGCTTTTAGTGGCTTAGCCAAACACAGGTTTCAAATGCTATTCCTAAGGGTTCTGAAGCAACAGGTAGAAAAATCAAGACCTTTTTGAGCTCCATTTGTAAGTTCTAACTTCTTGGATTCAAAATGTCTTTATTCGTCAAATGGTGTTGCCTACTTTCCAGGCCCACGGTTTGAGGATTCTGTGCATGAGCTGGTGGGGACCGTATCTGTCTTGTTTACTAGTATCTGCTGAACCCAGAACATGACAAATACTTGATGATTAAATTAAAATTATTTTAGAAATCATGAAGATATCTACAAATGCAATTATTTCTTTACTTCAAAGAGCTTTCCTAAATCCCATAATTTATCCTTTTCCTTATTTTTTTTTTTTTTGTGGATTTGAATGGTTATAATGGCTATCATAAAAATGATGATGAGTTTGACTCCCGGGTTGTTGTTGTTGTTGTTATTGTTATGTACAACAGCCCTAAACTCCGCTCTGTCCTGTGCC